GTAGTAGTAGTAGCAGTAGTAGTAGTAGTAGTAGTAGTAGTAGTAGTAGTGGTAGTAGTAGTAATAGTAATCGTAGTATTAGTAGTAGTAGTAGTAGTAGTAGTAGTAGTAGTAGGAGTAGTAGTAGTAGTAGTGGTAGTAGTAGTGGTGGTAGTGGTGGTGGTGGTGGTAGTTGCTGTTGTTGTAAAAGTAGGTGTAGCAGTAGTAGCAGTTGGTAGTAGTAGTAGTACTACTACTACTAGTAGTAGTAGTAGTAGTAGTAGTAGCAGTAGTAGTAGCAGTAGTAGTAGTAGCGAAAGGAATCGTAGTAGTAGTAGTAGTAGTAGCAGTAGTAGTAGTAGTAGTAGCAGTAGTAGTAGTAGTAGCAATGGTAGTAGGAGGGCTAGTAGTAGCTCCCCCAACTCCTTCAACTCCTCCCTCCTCCTCCTCATCATCATCATTATCCTCTTGCTCATACTCCTCCTCATCCTCCTCCTCCGTCTCCTCCTCCTCCTCCTCCTCCTCCTCCGTCTCCTCCTCCCTCCTCCTCCTCTTCCTCCCCGTCCTCCTCATCCTCTTCCTCCTCCTATTCCTCCTCCCATCTCCTCCTCCTTCCTCCTCCTCCTCCTCCTCCTCCTCCCCTCTCGTCCTCCTCCTCCTCCCCCATCCTCCTCATTAGTATCCTCCTCCTCTCCTCCTCCTCCTCTATCCTCCTCCTCATCCTCCTCCTCCTCCTCACCCCCCCTCCTTCTCGTCCTCCTCCTCCGCCTCCTCGGCCTCCTCGTCGTCGTCATCCTCCTCATCCTCCTCTCTTCCTCCTCCTCCTCATCCTCCTGCTCCCCCGCCTCCTTCTTATCCTCCTCCTCCTCCTCCTCCCTCCCTCCTCCTCGTTCTCCTCCTCCTGCTCGTCCTTCCCCTCCTCATCCTCTTCCTCCTCCTCCTCCTCCTCCTCCTCCTGCTCCTTCTCCTCATCCTCCTCCTCCTTCTCCTCCTCCTCCGCCTCTTCCTCCTCCGCCGCCGCCTCTGCCGCGTCCGCCTCCGCCTCCTCCGCCGCCTCCGCCTCCTCCGCCTCCTCCGCCTCCTCCGCCTCCTCTTCATCCTCCGCCTCCTCCGCCCCCTCCGCTTCCGCCTCCTCATCCTCAGCCGCCTTCTCCTTCTCATTCTCCTCCTCATCCGCATCCTCCTCATCCTGCTCCTCCTCCTGCTTTTCTTCCTCCTCATCATCCGCCGCCGCCTCCGCCACCTCCGCCTCCGCTTCCTCTGCCGCCTCCGCCTACTCCGCCTCCTCCGCCTCGTCCGCCTCCTCCGCTTCCTCCGCCTCCTCCGCCTCCTCCTCCTCATCCTCCGCCTCCCCCGCCGCGTCTTCTTAGTCTGTGTAGTATGATTATTCGTCTCATTCGGATTAGTATTGTTGGCATTGTTATCCTTAGTAGTAGTATTGCTCGTGTTATTGATATTAGCATTCTTATTATCCAAAGTATTCGCAATATTCTTCGTATTATGATAACCCGTACAAGGATTCTGTTTAGTCGTAGTATGATTCGCGTTATTGATTGTATTTGTATTATTAGTAGTAGTATTAGTCGCCTTCGTCTTCGCATTAGCCGTACTAATAGTATTACTCGTAGTACAATTGTCCTTCTTCGTTGTATTAGTAGTCGCCGTCTGCCTATTACGAATAGAAGAAGTAGTAGTAGTAGTAGTAGTAGTAGTAGTAGTAGTAGTAGTAGTAGTAGTAGTAGTAGTAGTACTAGCAGCAGCAGCAGCAGCAGTAGTAGTAGTAGTAGTCGTATTAATCGCCTGCTTCTTCTTATAAATCGAATGACTCTTGGTATGATTCATCTGCTTACCATTAGCGGTGTTATTATTGTTACTGCTATTTTCTGAAAATTAGTATTAGTGTTGTTCGTTTTATGTTATCCTTAGTATTCTTCCTCCTCATCATCCTCTTCCTCCTCCTCCTCATCGTCCTCCCCCTCCTCCTCCTCCTCCTCCTCCTCCTCCTCCTCCTCCTCCTCCTCCCCTCCCACCCCTCCTCCTCCTCCTCTCCCTCCTCCTCCTCCTCATCCTCCTCCTCCACCTCCTCCTTCTTCTCCTCCTGCTCCTCCCCCCATCCTCCTCATCTTCCTCCTCCTCATCCTCATCCGCCTCCTCCTCTTAGTCTGCACTTATGATGATTAGTATATGATTATTAGATGTATGGTTCTGCGTCTTCTCCGTCCTTTTCGTGCTAATATTAGTCTCAGTAGTCTTATTGATACGACTCGCACCATTGCTATGCGTAGTATGATTAGTAGTTAGTCTTCTTATCCTCTTAATATGATTAACAGTAGGCTCAATGAATATGTTTCGTATTATCGTGCGTCCCGCAACTATTTGCATGTTTAATAATCGGATTCCCATTATTAGCATTACTCGTATTACAATTACTGTGATTACTATTATTACTAGTAATGTATGTAGATACAAATGTGTAAATATGCATGTTTATGTGTACATGTAGACCCATGTGTATATATATAGTTATCAATATACCTTTTAATATACATAGATATGTATATATGTGTGTGTCCCCAATAAGATCTTGCTTCTGTAGGGCTCCTAGAAAGTTCATATGGTTAAATGCGGTTCGTCGCCGATTTCCGTGGCCGGCCCGGGTGCCCCGGTGCCCCGGTGCCCCGGTGCCTGGGGGTGCCTTGGTGCCCGCGTGCCCGGGTGCCCAGGGGTGCCCGGAGGTGCCCCGGGGTTCCCGGGTGCCGGGGTGCTCGGTAGCCCTATAGCCCTATAGCCCTATAGCCTTATAGCCTTATAGCCTTACAGCACTACAGCCCTATACCTCTATAGCCCTATAGCCCTAATAGCCCTATAGCCATATAGTCCTATAGCCCTATGGCCCTATGGCCCCATAGCCTTATAGCCGTATAGCCTGATACCCCCATAGCCCTATAGCCCTATAGCCCTATAGCCCTATAGCCCTATAGCCCTAGGGCCTATAGGCCTATAGCCCTATAGCGCTATAGCCCTAAATCCCTGTAGCCCCAGAGCCTTATAGCCCTATAGCCCCATAGCCCTATAGCGATAAAAAGATTATGATTGGGGCTGTTCTCAGATATCATTCAGTATCTATGTATGTCATATGCATCCGCCGGACCCCGTACGGCCACCAGGCTGTAGGCCGAAGTTGCTGCTCCCTGCGCCAGTTGCAGTTTCAAGTCTCCAATGTTACAATCCTGCCTTGTGCTTCCCACTGTATATTGTTGAAGCCCGCGCGAAGAGGGGGGGAGCCCCAAACTAGCAGTTTACCACCCTCGGATCGGGGGGGCGTGGGACACGCAAAAATACTTGAGATTCGAGCCCCCGAGGACATCATCCCTCATATATAGCACGGTATTCGCGTCCCCGAAGCCACACACCTTCGTAAATTATACAATTATTGCGTCCCCGAGGCAACAAACCCTGGTAAAGTACGCAATGTTCGCGTTCCAAGGCGCCCGATGATGGTTCCAAGACGGCCCAACAGAGCCCCAAGAGGCTCCAAGAGCGCTCCAAGAGGCCTCCCGGGAGATCCCCAAGAGGCCAAAGCCGTCGATTGTATAAAAGTGTTTAAAGGATGTTGGCCTTCTCGCATTTTCGGCTTTCAGACGCACCAAACGGCTCAAGAAACTCCCAAGATCGCCCCACGACAGGCCAAAGCGCCTACAAGAGGGCCCCAAGAGGCTCCAAGACGATCCAAAAAACACTGCGAGAAGCCCCGAGAAGCCCCCAGGAGGCCTCAAGGGGCCGCCCAGAGGACGTAAGAAGCCCAGGCCCAAAAGATACCCCACAAGGCCCAAGAGGCCCCCAAGAGGCGCACAAACT